GTTTTTTTAATTGATCTGATAAATTTCTATCGCATCTTAAGCTGCCATTTATCAGAAAACACTGTCATTTATTTTCTGAATTACAAATTAGATTTAGATCACAATCAAGTCTACATCTTTCTCAGTTCACAATTAGTGCTTAAAATTCATTTACATATAAACAAAAAATTAATGTGTTTATAATCCCAGTGGGTGTAGAATATGGAGAGCTAAAACTATGGTTTCCCAAACGAATTTCTATTGATTGAATGTGACACTGAGTCTGTTCTCTGTGGTCTTGAAGGCTTCATTGATTTTCCGTGGCTGTACAATTATAAACAGTTCCGAATCTGAAAAAGAATGGAAATAACACATTTGTTTTTAATGCCTATCTGACGTACTTCTACTACTCTTTCAACACATATTATTCTAAATTTTTAGGAAATCTGACAAACTGAAATCCTCTGTGTGCTCTTTCTTTCTTTCTTTCTTTCTTTCAACATTTTTACATGTTTCTTATTGGACTTTAGAATTCGATCTCAACAATCAATTTGCGAAAGAGTTTCGATATAGTAATCTTTTGCCAATTTATAATATACATAGAAGTAACATTATTATTATTATTATTATTATTATTATTATTATTATTATTATAGGGAAACCCCCAAGTGATCAGTCTAACAAATGGAATTTGAACAGCGGCAACTGCGTACAGTTACAAACAAAGAACACCACCAACCTCAGCAACCCTCCAACTTTGCCCGGGCCATATCAGAATGTCCTGACGCCGAATTCAGCAGACTTTCAAGGGCCTGGTGCCAATGAAAAACCAAACATTCCGACCTCAATGTTCTGAAATGAAAATCATATGGAAGAGACTTGTCATCTACGACATAAAGGAGATATTTTACTATTTACATTCAAGTTAAAGGATTTCTGGGAATAGGTGGTGCTGTGTTCCCGTTCTTATTGCTATTTTCGCCCAAACATTTTAAGGGTTTAGCAGTACAACTTGGCAAAAATATAACAACGTACCAAGCTAACGCAAAAGCTTTATGTTGTTAGAAATGAAACGGGTAGTAATAAAGATGACCGTAAAAGTAAAATCTACCGAAATTTCGCAATAGTCGCGACATGACATACTGTTTACAACATTCACAGTGTAGTAGTCTATTTTTATATTTACAAACTACACTGACGCAAAGGTAATGTTTCGGTTTATATTTACGTACAGTTTTACTTTCAGCAACATTGCACCAATCCTACCCAAACCCTACAGGAATTATTCGGGTACTTCTTTTACCTCTGGCACTGTGGCACATCCAAAATGTTACCGCTAACCCTGTGAGGCCGCACTGAGAACCTGTTTGCCTCTAAAAAACCAGTATAATATGTTGGTATGAGGGCGGATTTTTCTACCGCAGGTTATGATAGAATTAGCAAGAAAAGGTTATAAGTGAAATAAGTACCAAAAATATACATCAATCTATCAGGATGGAGCATACTGCAATAATGATAATAATAATGATATAAACGCTTTCCAAAAGTTTATCGATACCTATTTATTTGATAATTGTCCGTCTAACGGCATGTAAAACTGGACAAAAATTAGTGCTCTATCTTTTATTATATTTTATTTATTTATTTATTTTTAAATTTTTTCTTTTTAATTTTTCATAGGCCTACAAATCAGAGTAGAAAGCGGGTCTGTGAGGTCCATACTTGTTTAATTAGTCTGGTTTTCTAAAGCTCACAACAGGAAGTTAAAGAAATATATTCTGTCTCATATATATGCAGGCTTCGGCAGAATTTAATCAATACTTGAGTTCAGAGAGTCAGATTTTTTTACAGAGGCGCCGGGAGATGTTATGTGCAATGTATTTTCTCCACTGTAGAACAAACACTTATGGTTTTATACGTTTTTGACATAATTTATTGACCCATGAAGTTGTTGCATTAATTCTGCACAAAATTTTCTCCGGTTTCATTAATTGTTATTATTCTCCGGTTGAATTATTGTGTACTTAGTAACAAGAACCGATGATATCGCTGAGAGCACGTTATACAGTATGCTCTAAATATCTAATTTATTGTCAAGGAATTATTTAAGAGAAATCGTCTTTTTACATAGTGTATCATTTGTATTTATTATGATGATGTGTAATATTGTGCAATTTTGCCCTCATTTATCCTTTAGTCTGCGTGTATATTTTATCGTATGCATGTGTCTGTATATGGATTTTAAAACCTTTTTACATGTAATATTTCAGATTGTTTTGAAAAATTAAATATTGAACTTAAAATGCAGCAAACGTGTTACTTATTGCGGCCATGGAGCGTTGACTTTTACTACAGCCCGCATTTCCTGTAATGGACGTCATTACTTCCCTGGCCAGTGAATACTAGTGATAAAAGGAGGGATAACTATCATGATAACCTGAATAAGATGTTTTAATCGCGTCACATACGTGTATACAGCACAAATTACACTAATAAACAAGTGAATTTCCAAAGCCGTGTGGGAGGAAGGTAATTAGAAAAACAATTAAGTATTAAAATTAACACAAGTTAAATTGTTAATTAAAGTAAGCACACACTTATACATGGGGCTCTACAGGTAAACGCATCAAAATCTATTATAAATTTAGATGATTGTTTTTTGATAAATAAATAAAACTTGTAAAAGGCGCATTATTTGCTGTCGACAGCGGTTCTTTTATAAATAGATGTCACTGAAACTGAGAGACTGAAAGCAAATATACACAGAAAGCCTCCCCTCCCATGAACATGAAAGTTTGTCTTACCTTTGTGTTATATACATCGACAAACTTTGTGAAGCTTAAAAACAAAAAGAGATTTGATGTAAGGCTCAGATTCACTTCTTTTCATTTAATTCCCTTTCCTTTCGATTCCCAGAATTATATCTATATATGTGTGTGTGTGTGTGTGTGTGTGTGTGTGTGTGTGTGTGTGTGCGCGCGCGCGTAAGCTTGCCTAAACGTTTGTGGCGGGGGGGGGGAGACCTCTTTTCTAATTATCAAAGTTGACAACTGTAGCCTGATTTCACATAAATATTCACTGCATCATTTTTTGCAAAGATAAAATAAGCCTCAGAGTTCTTTGTTTCTTTATTCTGAAGGAATTAGATTGACAAATAAAGAACCAAAATCTAAAACAAAAATTGTTAACTCAAAGACACATGGCTTAAGTTTATTAACATTCTTTTTCCGGTGCGTGGGTTACCGGCCTACACAGTAAGTAATGAGACTCATGCGGTGGAGAACTTATCGCACCGGTATTATGCTGGTTCTGAATCTCACCAATATCCTACTAGGAAGAATGAGAAAGCAGATATCAATAGAGATTTAAGGAACTGGTAAAGAACCACGATGAACATCGCATCAGTCTGTATAGGCGACTACCGCACCGGGAAAAATAGTTCTAAAATTTAAAATCCCCGGTGTTGTGTTAGTTAACCTTGACCGTATCTGTTAATGACAAATTCTAGTTTTACATCTGATCCTATACACATGGATATAGTTTGTTTCCACACGAAAACAAAATTGTGAAATCTCACCCGTCAAGTTTTATCAATACAAACTTCCGATGCTCCAGCCTGCGGTAATAAACAAGCAGGCGAGATTAATAGAGTAAATACAAAAAAAATTGTAAGCCACGGGTCAAAGGCTTTATTGTCAGGGATAAAAACCATTGTTTGTTTCAAGCTACATTTACAACAGTTGATACAGTTTTCACATCGGTGGGGAATCTCCTTCGATCATGTCAGTGGATTCTGGTGAAAGTTCCTCTGGAAATGAAGCCTTGCACACGCTACACAGACAATTAGCCAGATTGTGGGCAAAACTATTGAGGGCGTTAACACCAGTGGAACGCCCCCATGCTGTAGAGTAGCAACAAGCTTGACACCCAGTCAGATCAGCCTCTGCGCTACATTCCCCGTATTCAGCGGTTGAGTCGAAGCACTGAGAAAACGGGCACGCGCAATGAGAAAATGTTCGCACAAATGCACCCTCACTGCTGGTTCTGAAATGCACTCTGTATGCTTCGATGAAGCAGCAGTTGTCGCAGAGGGTTTGGGTTTCCTTGCTCTTGCAAATGCCCTTTGGGGGGAGCAGAGACTCTTCCAGAGAAGACACACTGCGGGAAGCCCTGGCCGTTTTTACCTCCTCTGCCGGGGCGGCGGCTCCCAGGGTCAGAGATATGGCGATGAACAGCACACCACATGTAAACTTCTGAAATCATAAAAAAGATAAATGTCCCTTTTTTCATTCTGTATATGTATATTTTATATCTTATCAACAATTTAAACCATTATGATGGTAAGATACTGATGTAATGGTATTCCACATCAGCCTGAAGCGTGGGGTGCATGCAAAAACATCTTAATTCTGGTAAAAAATAATAAATATGGATAAGTGCAATATTTGAATATACCCTGTGCATAATATGGAATAAAAGACCCAAAGCAAATCTGAACTCAAAAGAATAAAAAACTTGGTAACTATTTTTTGCCAGGTCAGATTTTAAATCAGGTGTGTGTGTGTGCGTGAGAGAGAGAGAGAGAAAGAAAGAGAGAGAGAGAGAGAGAGAGAGAGAGAGAGAGAGACTACAGTAAGCTAGAAGTCTGTAAAAATATATAAACAATTTATGCACACAAGCTTACAAAAATACAACGTAAATCTATAGCTTGTACACATGTATCGGTATATGCAAGCGTCACACTTACCATCATTATTCCACTACGACTGATATATTAAAGCGTATTCCCACTTGTCGTGCCTTTGACTGTTAACTTTGATATGCGCCTTCACCTCGAGAGGAAAACATATTTATCGCCGAAACATAAGTTAATGATTCATCCATCAACTGACGTACCCAGTCAAGCTGTTTCAATTATTGGCAATTGTTAGCAGAGGTTATGAATGACTTCCCTTCCGTAAAATTCCAACTGGCCATCCTCTACGGGATTGATTTACATCAGGGATGCCTGTTTATCCAGTCGAACAGAGAAAACCCCGGCTAACCGACACTCATTTCCGATTACATCTCAATGCAGATTCAAGGGAACGGAACGAAGATTATTGAAATGACTGCATGGTGTTTCATTTAACACCAGGTTACATACATTTACATATTTCTTTCTTGTTGTTAAAAACTGCTTCCCTGCTATCTCCTCTTAAATAAAATAAATAGTTGAACAGCAATTTTAGAAAGAAATGTTGGCCCACGTTTGCTCCTAATTATAATTTTTTCTGGTTATCCGAATAATTCATATAATTAGATCACAAGGTGTTTTTAAAATACAAGTTTATAAGTAGACATTTAAAAGAAGTCACATATCACATGTGCAGTGATTTCACAGAAAAAATATGTTAAATCAAATTGCTTTCTTACGTTGTATTCAAGAGATATCCATCAGCTTCCCCCGCCCTACAGGTGCGTCCTATTCAAACAAATGTGTGCGTGTTGTGTTGTAATTTCAAACCCAAGGTTAAAGATGCCGTGTGCATAAACAACTGGTTTGTGTTTGTCGAAATTACAACGTAGAAAACACTCGGCAGGCAGTGAATTTTTGGGGAAGGTTTTCGAGATGTAACTCATCAACTTAAACCCCTTCTGTAAAGGTGAAAAAACAAACAACCTTTGCACTTAAATATCGATTTAATTTGTTGTGCTTTCTACCAGGATACTTATATTTACAAGCCCGTAAGTCATGATCACACCAAGATTGAATTAACTACAAATCATTATTTGTAGTTCAATTTTGTAAATATCTTTCGATCTCCAATGTTTAATTATAACTAATTATTCATCCATTTATCCATATTTCTTTTGTTTTTTTTTTATTTTTATTATTTTTTTTGCTAACATCATCAGACAATTTTTGATATTTTGAAATTTTCAATTTATAAAGATCCACTCGCAGTGAAAACGTGACACGGTGATTTAGGTATGAGCCATTTGGTACATAAAACCAGTCGAGGTTACAGAATGCATATTTCTAATTAGGCACTATGGCATTGCCAATGAACGATCTGGAAATTAATAGACTTCATTTCCCGAATACAAGTGCTAATAAACCGAATAAAAAACGGCGTCATGAGCATATTAGATTGGTACTCAACTTCCGTTATAGACATTCACTTTCATGTCGTGGTCCTCAAAAGTATTATTCCTAACAGTAATATTGTCGATTATAGTAACTTTTGTAAAGCATATAGCCAGTTTTTTTTTTTTTGGTCGTATACATTCATTCATATACTGTCTTATTAGAACATTAGATTTATTCGACTGACAAAAGTTCCTTTTAAAAACTGTTGTCAGTGCACCTTGTAACATTTCTTGATTTCGTAAACGCATCCAAAAATGCGACAGCAACGACGTTTCGCAACCAGTGCTACCACGACTGTGTTCAGCTAGACGGCAGAAACTCGTGCATTGGTAACACTTGTTCATGATAAAGGATGCAGCTGTGACTTAGGCGGATTTTGTGAAACTGCACGCAGAAAGCAATTCTGATGTAGATCTACAGCAAAATACTTTTCATATAGTGTAATAATTTTTTTAGGATTAACAAAGCTCATGATCAAAAAAGAACATTCCCACTTTTTTCAAAAGGTTTATTAGATTTCAGTAACACAGTTCCAACAAAACAATAGATGTAAATATACATTTTAATAACAAGACTACATATGACATAAACCACAAATAACCAAATACAATTAATCTTTTTTTTCTATCACAGCTATAACAAAATTATACATATTTGTATGTTATTATAATACTGGTTTGAATAAACTTGTATCAGCCCCAGTAGATGGAAAGGCTTTATAACTGTGAACTAAATAAAGTATCAACTTGTCAAGAATCTATACCCTTTACACCAAAAAATTACATTTTCATCTTAATGTCATCAAAGCTGTATGACATATACTATCTAAAGCCATGTCCTACTGTTAAGGTCAGTCAACAAATGACACATCTTGCTCCAGTTTCTTAAACTCTCCATGTAATTGTGGAAATCGTAATGTTGACAGATAGCACAAACATTAATATTTACTGAAACTATTGCTTGGCAATATAATATGTACATTATGAAGTGTAGGACAATCTGTAAATACATATACATGAAGCCATTCACTGGCAAGTCTCTAGGTTTGCAGAAGAATAAATCAGTTGGGGGTGAAAAAAATGTCATAAAGCATTAAATATTGAACTGTCCCAACTGCAATATAAACTGAGCACTTTTATCCTTTGCATAACATGTTCCTATTTTAGTTGTCAAAACTTAGCAAATAGTGAGGACACTTACAGACTGGTTTCACGTCCAATTATTTTGTCTATTTTACCACTCTTACACTCATTGGCAAGCAAAATTACAGAATCAGAGCGATTTTGGCGTGGAGATATAAGACCAACGCTGCTCTCAACTTCGCCAAGATTGGTTGATAAATCACAATCCTGGATGCTAACACTGCTGATCCTCCTGGCTCCAACTGAACACAGTCCCATACAACCATTGATGACAGCAGTTTCAACATCTCTGTCATCCAGGCTAATGTTATTGTTGTCATCTCCAAGGTCTACTATACGAATAAGAGGGTTTTGCTCTCGCCAATCTGCCCACACCTTATAATGGTATCGAAGGGCAACCTGCAAATTAAAAGAAAAATTATAAATTGAGCCTTATTTTTTTTTAAACCTAAACTTAGGCACCTCAATAAATACAGCTGTCAAACAATGATTCTAGTCCTAATTATTTCAGAAATGAAAGTGAAATGTGTACATCAGGTTACATTGGTGTCAGCCACAAAACATAAAAGCTGTATGATATAATCTCAAATTGAAATTTCCATGCTCAATGGAAAAACTCCTCTACATTTTCATAGAGGATACAGAAACAATCAATAAGAAAAATGCAAGAAAACTACACAAAAATCAATTTTCTACATTGACATGTTTTTTTTAAATTTCTAAACTGTGGCAACAAATCAAACACACTAACCAAGCACCAAACAATATATATCAAAACAAGGAGGACAGTGAGGGTAATCAGCCCCGCAGCCTCCCACTGGTTGGTCCACTCTGCATAGTGTAAGGCCCCAGTGACACACAGCCAGGCACTGACAGCAGCCAGGGGGGTCAGGACCAGGAAACAGATGATATCACCCCACATGTTCCTCTTATCATTGGGCCTCTTGGGCTCTCTGAGCCACTAAATAGGGAGAAAATGTGTTTAAAAAAAATTATATATATATATATATATATATATATATATATATATATATATATATATATATATATATATATATGATGCTACAAAATGAATGTATTAAAGCTCAGGTTGTTATATATTCTGCATATGTTGGATTTACATGACTGAGTATTCTTCAACTTTTTTATCAACAGATTTTAATAATTATTTCTTTTTCTAAATGTACATGCAGTAACCTTAAAAATATTGGGACTGTATAAAACCAGGAGTAGTAGGCTAATCTAATGCTTGTTTTATGATGTTTCTGTTATCATTTTTTACACTAATTCAAAATAATCATAAAATGTTTGTCTTCTGGCATTTATAAAATTATAATCTGTTGTTTACCTGCCAAAAAGGCCTGCACTGCTTCTCCACCTGGTACTCAAAGTCACAGATCTCACACCTGTTGCTATTGGATGAACCCAGCCACTGTTCAATACAACTCCTGTGAAGAAGCCCCATTGTTCCAGAACACTTGCAAGGAGAGATCAGTTGCTCCACTTTGTCTCCTTCGTGACAGATACGACATATGGTCAGGCTGCTACTTTCACTAAAAGATCTGTAATAAAGAATTACTAGTAGTTAATTCACACATTTATGATAACAGAGATTCTTATTTGCCAATATGTAATAAAGTACATGTTTTCATAAATAAAATCTAATTTTTTCAGCAATTCTTCAAGTTTAATAATTATCTGCAATAGCTGAAAATCATAAAATCAGTCATTAACTGATATATGAGAAAATTGTTTCAGCCAATAATATCTATTTTTTCTGAACATATTTTTTCTATATGTGACATTACCTGGACAAATTTCTGCAAGCTCTTCCAGAACGCTGAGGTGCAGGTGATGCCATATTGCTGCTGCTCAGTGATGATCTCTTCCTGTGTCTAGTAGCTGAGCCTGAAGTTTCTAACTTAGAAGACGATACAGACTGACTTGGTGAAACTTTTGGGGTCTTGACTGGTGAAGGTAGCATTACCAGCTGACCCTGGACTAAATCTTTTCTCACAGCTATTCTTTCTTGCTTGGGAGAATTCTGTGTGTTGTCATGGCAATGCGATGGAGTGCTACTGTCTGGTGACTCTTCTTGAATTGTTTGGGTGTAAGGTGTTTCTTGGATGCTAGTTGTATCCAGTGATCGCGGCATTTGGAAACTACATAAAGACATACAATCCAATATACCATTCAGCCAACTATTTCATCCAAATATGGAAGAATTTAGAACATCCCTCTACTTTCTCTACTACTATAACCATTTACTCTCGAAGTAATGACTACAAAATAATCCCTTATTATTTAATCTAGTAATGGATACTTCAAAAAGAGTGGGTCACTAACTTACAGTTTAAATGACCATGCGTATAAAAATTGCAAATTGGTTACTCGACTGGTTATCAGCTTGAATCTATTCCAGGTTGACCATGTTCTATTATAAGGATTAAACATTATCCTTGGATGCCATTCTTAGCCCTCTCACTGCCTTTTGCAGGACTAAAAAATGAATAACAAAAAACACTCGCCTCGACGCACCCGGATGTCTTCAAATCTCGCGGAAATATGTTCAAAGCGAGGTTTCCAATATCAGCCCAAACTGAGAGCTCGACAAATTATGGTGCATTTCATGCATTTTCTTTAGCATACACAGTTATCGATAGTTAAGTTTAATTGATACAGTTTATGAATAACTAATCGATTCATTCTTGCATAAATAATGTAAATATAAAACATATAAATAAATGAGTGTTTGAGGTTCTCCTGTCTGCCGCTAGGGTGCAGTGAAGTATTTCCGGTACAGAAAATCATGTGTTGGCGTGTTTTCGTTTTTGAATGAACAGTAAAAAAAGTAAATGGAGGATCGTGTCTACTTGAACGAGCGTTGCAAGGCTGCACTAAAGAAAACGTTTGGCCACGAAGACTACCGTTCAGAACTTCAAAGACGAGCAGTTGAAACAGTAATCAAAGGTGACTGTAACATATTATCATCAATAAAGTATCGTGAAAGTTTATCAACTTGCAATTGTTGTATAACGATAGATTTAATCTTTCATACATGTATGTTCACAGTTGAAGCAAAGTCTCTCTCTCTCTCTCTCTCTCTCTCTCTCTCTCTCTCTCTCTCTCTCTCTCTTACACACACGCACGCACTGCTGAACGAGTAGAAATGAAAATAGATACTGAGATATAGTTATATGCAACAGAATAAAGAGAGAAATTGGTTGTTTATGTTTCAGGAAAGAAAGATGTGTTTGTGTCTATGCCAACTGGAGCTGGAAAATCTCTGTGTTATCAGCTCCCGGCTGTCGTATCTAGGGGAATCACACTTGTGGTGTCACCCCTGATTGCTTTAATACAAGATCAGCTGGACCACCTACTAGCAATTAAGGTTCAAGCAGCTTCTTTGAACTCCAAGCTTTCTTCTAAAGAAAGAAAGCAAGTGCTGGGTGATTTACAAAGCAAGAAGCCCAGGGTGAAGTTATTGTATATCACACCAGAGTTAGCTGCCACAGTCAACTTTCGAGAAATTCTTGAGAAACTGCATGCTAGAAAATTATTGAGTTATTTAGGTATTTAAATGGTATATGTTTTCATAATTTGACCCAATTTGGTAAATTCAAAATGCCTTTCCTCTTTGAGAATGTATCTGATTAAAAAACAAAGTATGAAATGAATTAAGCCTCATAAATATATTTCAAATGAAATGAAAGAATGATATTGAGAGATAAAAAAGAATAAAATTAGAAGTATTTTTTCTAACTGGGCTCTTTATATGAACTGTTTTAAAGCTGTTTCTCCAGAATGTATCACCCATAAGTGTTCATGACACTTGTTTTATCATTTCAGTTGTTGACGAAGCCCACTGTGTGTCTCAATGGGGCCACGATTTCCGCCCAGATTACCTCAAGTTGGGATATCTAAGAACCAAGCTTCCAGGTTTGCCTTGTGTGGCACTGACTGCAACTGCAACACCTCATGTGGTTCAGGATATCTATAAGTTTGTATTGTTTTTTTCCCTATACTTTGTAAGTTATACATCTCTTTAATTGTAATCTGTTATGTGACGTCCTGTCTAGGTGAGCAGATTTACAGAGACAAGTCAATCAAAAGTGATGCTTGTATTTTCAGATCTCTTCACCTTAAAGAACCTGTGGCAAAATTCAAGAGTAGCTGCTTTCGCCCAAACCTGTTTTATGATGTGTCAATGAAGGAGATAATTGAGGACCCATATCAGGACCTGTATGAATTTGCTGTGAAAGCTTTGACAGGAGACAGCCCTGATAACTCACTCACGGTTAGTACAGTCGAAGACTTAATTACAGACTCATTTATTAGTATCACCCTGGCTTAGCTCTTTTTCACGCCATAACAGAATTCCAAGATTTTTATATCCATTCTGGTTGGGGCTCGTGGACCTTAGGCTGATTTGGTCCAATGATAATTTTATTTTTGTATGTAACACAGGCACTTGTCTGACCACAATAGTGGAGCTGGGTATAAGACTTGCTGAAAAATTTTAAACAGTTGGATGTTCAGACCCACAGTCATGAAAATTTTGCCAGCCTGACAGTAAATTAAAATTGGCAGCTCCTAGAATTGTTGCTAGTTCCTTGAACCAATTAAACAATTTTTCTACTGGTTTTTGAAAATTGTATTAATCATGGTCAGTAGTACAGCCAGCTTTTACATGTCTGAGGTATGAATTTACATCAGAACTCCCCCCTGCAATGCTGATGCTGATGCATTCAGAGTTCCTTTATTGAAAACTGAAAATGTATTCTTCTGCTCGAATGCTCCTCATTTGGGTCAGTTTCAAATCCATTTAGTAATAATAATAATAATAATAATAATAATAATAATAATAATAATAATAATAATAAACTTTATTTAAAGAGGGTAAAACCTTATCTTGCACATGGCCCTCTAGTGTGTTAAAATGAAATATTGTGCTAATGAATAAAAGAGGAATAAATTATGAAATTAAAATGACAATGAGGTAAAAATGAAATAAGTTTGAATAACAATATTAATAATAATAAAACAAAAGACATTATGTTAGTAAAAATCCTAGAGCTACATGACTTAAAAGTTGTATACATAAAAGTTACTTTTGGTTTTTTAAAAACAATATTTTAAAAGTATCCAAGTCTTTGAAGTTTTTGATTTCAGAGTGTAGGCAGTTCCATTTTTTAAAAGGGACAAAATTAAATTTTTGTGTGTTATATTGTAAATGCTTAGAATATAGGCTAGTCATTCTGCCAGTTCGACTTAAACAGGCTAACCCCAGTTTTTAACTGGGGTTAAAGGCAAGAAAAGTGGCAAGCTTATTAAGTGAGGAGGCTACATGTACTTGAAGTCTAATAATGGGACTTTCTTATTTGTCATCTGGTCAGAATGGAGATAAAGGCAGTATAGTTCAGATTGTAGATGGCGGTTGTCTAATCTATTTTAAAAGTTTGTTTCATTATATATTAAATGCACATATTTTAAAGTGATGGATTTTATTAGATTCTGGGATGATTCTAGCAAAGTAGATTTTAATCTCAATGTTTATTTTTGACTGAAGGGTACAGAAATGCCTCCTGAAGAGCTTGTTGTGCTTGTTGAGCAGTGTTATGCTACACTTCTCTAATGCAATCAATATGTTTAATCATGATTATTCCTTTTATTGAGAAGGTAGTGTGGTGTATGCCTTTTACACAAGCTTCATGCAGATTGGCTTGTTTTGAAGTGATAGCTGCATTACTGTAATGTTATTTTTAGTTATAGCCATAATTTTTTTTTTTACTTCAACAGTGATAAGTTTTTGCCATGGTCTGTTGTTAGGTGTGACTTATACCATGATTAAATCAGTGTGGTGATTCTTACCATTTTTGATGATGTACTTTGTCATTTTATTCTCCTTTTTTCACAGTAGCAAGACTAGAATAATCATCATGTCTCATATGAAGGATACTTCATATACTGTCACAATTTTGAACTATCTTTGCAGTTACAGAGTCAGTTTTGCATAGTTCTTGATCTCAATTTATTTCAATTACGCTTAGTGACATGTTGGTTCTATAATTTGCAGTAGATTAAATTGCATTGTATTCTTCATATTTTATTCAGCAAGCCTGTGGCAGTGGTATCATATACTGTCGGACCAGAGACGCCTGTTCCGAGGTGGCAGGAAGACTCAGCAGGAAGGGACTACTGGCCAAACCATATCATGCTGGTGAGAAATTCTGAAATAACAAAATTTCAACATTTTTTTTTTTGTTTTGCACAGGGCTTTCAGTGATTTAAACCTTGTCTACAATCCCTAGGCATATCATTGTACTTTTGAGGGTCATTGTAATTAACGGTAATCTTCAGTTATCTTGAGGTCATTTGCCTGTAGGTCACTTGATTAATGCATGAATGGCATGTCAGAGTGGAATGCATTGAGGCCATTTCATGCAACTTATTTTTCAGACCACCCATTGCACATTTCTAGTAAAAGTCCAATACAATTTGATGATTAGAGTATGTTAATTCATAATTTGATAGCATTCTGTCTGATTGTCACATCAGTTAACTGTAGTCAGTGAAAACTTGTTATTTGTCCATATCTCTGTGTAATGCTTTATACTATGAAACATATTTCAAGACATCAGGGGCGGATCCAGAGTTATTTTCTGACAGTCTTCCAATTTTGACCGTCTTCCAACAGAAAAAATTAGCTGTCAATATAAACTTGAAAATCTGACCGTCTTCTGGAAGACCCAGAAGACGGCCTAAGTCTGCCCATGACATAGTGTATAGACATGTAAGCCCAGATCAGATAGTTATGGTATTATTTGAAATGGTTGCATGTTTGAGTGTGTAAGTCCTAAAAAACCCTCACATCCCAAGTGCCTACTATAATCTTAAGGCCAATAATTTCAGGTAATATTTTTTTCAGTTGGGTCATCATCTTTGGGAGTGTTAAATCTCATGAGTTAAAACTAACTTCTTTTCTCACACAGACTTTCTCTTGCTGTAGGGAGCGTTAAATCCCACGGGTAGTTCATTTCTCTGTAGTAATTTTCTCTGTGTGAAAAAATTATATCATTGTGAGGCAGTTGAATAAATTCAATGGTCAAATTCTCAACACGTAATTTTTTTAATGTAATATTTCAGGCCTGAAAGATTCTTTACGAACAGAGGTTCAGAATGATTGGATAGAAGGGAGACTGCATGTGATAGTAGCCACCATTAGTTTTGGAATGGGTGTGGACAAGGCTGACGTCAGGTAAATTTCAAATTTCACAAACCAAATGTTGGACACTCAGTTGAATAGATTTCACATTGTCTCTTGTATGGTCAGTCATGTGATTTCTTGCATGGCCAGTCATGTGATTTCTTGCATGGTCAGTCATATGATTTCTTGTATGGTCAGTCATGTGATTGAGGGCCTTTGATGAAGGACCCAAATATCATGCCTTAAAAACACTAAATAAACACAAACCTCTTTAGAAATCAATTAATTTTTTTTAAACTAAGATAGAGACTGTTGACAACCTTCTTCACTTAATGTGTGGTTGCCAAGGAACAACGTCAACACAGATTGGTGCCATTTTATTGAAGAACATTGATATTTAAGATATTATGATAAATGCCCACTCATTCGGACAAACTTTACCTTGGATGTGAAATGGAAATCAAAGAAATAATCCATTGAGGAAAGATCTTCCTTGTACATTTTTTGCTTACTGCAGAAGACAACTTTCTGTTAATTTATATTAAAAAATATATTCATTTCACTGAATTTAAATACAGTAATGACTCTCTTTCAATGGCAGCAAAATTGTAAATGTTAGAGATTCTTTAATATTTTTTTAGGTAACAATTTGTACAATTAAAATATTTCTGTTGAGTAGTAGCAACAAAATTGAAAAGCAAGCTACCCTATAATTGTAATTTATACAGTTAAAGAACCACAAATGCTGTGCTAAAATGAAATTTTTAATTATTCAAAAATTATGTTTCCGTGAGATTGATAATTTTCCCATTGAAAAAGTCTTTGCAGTAAGAGAAATTATGATAGAAAGTTGCAAGGTTTATTCATAAAAATTCATGGTGATTAGAATCTTAAAGAAAAAAATCAGATAAATAATTTATAATGGAAAAACTGTTTTCCCCTAAGGTTTGTGGCTCACTGGACCATCCCTAAGTCAATGGCAGGCTACTACCAAGAGTCAGGACGAGCTGGGAGAGATGGCAAGTTGTCATTTTGCCGCCTGTATTACTCTAGACATGAGAGAGACACCATAGTTTTCTTGATACAACAGGAGAGCTTGAGACAAACAGCAAATGGGGCAGCACAGGTAGGCACATGTTGTAATGTAGTTTTTTCCAGAGGTATTATTTGCCCTTCAACCCCCTTCCCAAAATTGTGTTTTGTCCTCACACTGGTTCGTCCTGTAAAATTTAAAAGGCTTAAAGGGTTGCATGCCTTATGCTACAGAATGAGTGGTGTGCAAGAATACCATATCATGATTTGACTAGAGCTGCCAAAAATTGATGGCTAGCTTGAGGTTAATTACATTAATATCATGGGCATAATTTTTTGCTAATATATAGATTTTGCTAACCCCTGGTGTCTTCTTAAAAGCCTCTTGCAACATTTACAATTTAAACAAATATATTCTATCCACAATTTTAAGATTTAATTTTTTTCAAGAAAAAAGCATTTTTTTCCTTCTCAAAAATCATCATTCGCACTTGGATTTGATGTTTTATACCTCTTCCAGTGATATAAATTAATTTAGTTCCTAATGTTTGGCCTGACGTTTGAACCTTATGCTTCCCTGTACACGTACTGTACATTTTAGAAGAAAATATCAACATCATGCACTTTTATTTGAGGGTTATTATCCTTTCATATTCTAAATTTGAAAAGCTCAGTAGCTTTGCTGGATATGTAGTCACAGAAAATGCAGATAGTTTGCCTGTAATGAAGTGTTCACTGTGATAGCAGCATTTAGTTATTACTGTTTTAACTAAGTGAGACCCAAAACTTGGTAGAATTACTCTCAATTGTCACAGTAATGTTGCATTTTATTCACAGGTCAGAAAGACTGATATTTATAACTATACACATCATTTTTATTGAAGCACAGATTGATGTAATTTTTAAAGATGGAAACCTTTACGTGGAAGATTAAACCCTTAATGATATTTAATGAAAATTTTTACTGATTAAATGAAAGTTTTTCATTTAATCTTTTAAATGGAAAATCCTTGAGGCATAACCCCCTTTGGGTTTGCTTTGTGGATGTAGTATCAGGTTTGAAATACAGCTTATAAAATACATTACATAATACAAAGGCACAGTTCAGTACCTAATGATGTAACATTTGAGTTATTTTAAGATTTTATCATAGCTTAATTATACATAGTTAATTACTTAATTTTACATGTTTAATTTATTTGTATTATGATTACTGAAAGGAATGTTATATATAATATAGGGTGTGCTGAGTGTTTACTTCATTCCCAGTGGTATAAACCAGAATAACAATAATATTACATATTAATACACTTGCTTCTTTATAAGCACCTTGTGTGTTTGACTGAGTTTGTCACTAAATTACATAACTATACAGGTATGAAGAGAGTCATTAAAGGACCTCTGTGGTATTTTCAATATTTACATAATATTGCAAAGTTCAAAGGAATACAATCGATATATTTTCATGTGATGAAGTGATAAAGCAGGTATTTCATGGAAAACTGTGTGAAGGCATGAAGTAAAACAGAGCAAAGTGTTCTTATGTGTGAGTGTGATTTATGCTTGTATTGTGTCACCTTGTTTTGTGTTTAATTGAATTACAGTATTGGAATATACAAGCGCCATAAACAGTTTAATTTTAATAATATAAAATTATTTACATGACTCCCTTCTTACACCTGTAGCAGGGCAAGGGCATACATAAGTATTACCCAATTTTCTGTACAGATAAAATCCTCTTGAATAGTCAAAGATGATAATGAACTCAGATTGGATACTTCCTTGTTAGAATATGGATTTATAGCTAATTTAAAAAATTTCTTTAAATTTGACCTGTTGCTAATTACCTACCTATATAAGGAGTGTGTAACTTGTAAGAAAAAGACATATTTCAAAGGTTTTAATTGTGACTGTTTTATCAAAGCATTACAGCCTATTTGTCTAAATTTTTTATTTTAAATTTAAATTAATGTTAAAACATTTTTTAAAGAAGTGAAATATAGAAGGAATGATAAGATCACCATGATAATTAATGTTTTTATAAATTATATGACTTTTTTATGAAAATATTACATAGGTAAGAGCTGTGATTTTTGAAAAATTATACTTTTAGTGTAGAAATTTACAAGATGGCAAAGATATTTAGCATACGTAGGTCATCCATGGGAACTGAGATTCAATTCAACATATTTCAGATGACTGCACTTCTTGCAGTTGATGTCCTGTAACAAAATCAGACAATATTCAAATTGAATGCTAAATTCTAGGTCCCGAGGAATATATGGCTGTAGGAATTTGAACATTGATTATAGATCTTTTCACCACTTTGATATTCTAGATTAAAATGAGCCAAACTTGTTCCTAGGGCCATTAGTTGGGACAAGAAAGCAAATAGTATAGAATATCTGTCAACAAATATTTAGAAACCACTATAAACAAATAGTTGACCAGTGACAAAAGGTGACGTGTAATAAGATATCCTGAAAATATTCACTGTTGAGAGCTCTTCAAGCGCATTCTTGTTAAAAGCTGTGCCATGGCCAGATTATTCTGATATATAGCAACTTGCCTGGTATTTACCGGAGGTTTCTATATGCTGATGTTATTAGCTAAGAAGCATGTAAAGTAGAGATTAAAATCATCCGTGCATTATTCTGAAAGTCAACACAATTAATGGTTGGTGGTTGATTTTTTCATAAGACAGTGTAAATATATGTTGCAGATCTGAAGTACCGCACCTGTTTTGTTTACACTTGGTATTCCATTCATTTGACACCTGTTTAAATTTAAGATTGTCTCAGCAGTCCATTTGGTGACCTTGGACTTTGGGGTCGAATGAAAGTGGCAGTGGTGTATTTTGATAAATTGCAAGAATTTTCACCATGAACTTAGTCTAAAAAGATCCATGCTCCAGTGAATGCCATTGTTTCTGATCACAAAGTGTTTTTGTTATTATTATGGCTTTGGCAACAAAAGTTGCAGGCTTCCTACCTTGGTATGTTAGTACACGTAACTGATTTTCCTTGTTTTAAAACTTTCGATAATAAAATTACTTACACCTTATATTACTGAAATATTAAAAAAAAAATTAGTAGCTGAGGGCTGTGCCCATGTTTTGTTTGAAAATTCAAAGATAAATTCTAGAGAGAAAAAACTACTCCAAAAAAATTATACTCAAACAACGTAAGGTTTAAAGTAAAATTTGGCATATCCATCAGCACACTTAGGATTTGCTAAAAGGGAAAGTAAGGAGATGCAAATCAAATATTTTTTGCTTTGCTGAAGGCCCTTTTCTGAGTGAAGGACAAATTATCAATGCGTTTACTTTTTTTACTGCTGAAAGCAATAGTGAAAGGTACATAGAGATTGAATTTATACTTACAGCAATCAATAGGAGTATCTGATACTTTTTACATTCAACATATTTAACATTTGCGCTAAACCAAATGAAGTAACTGCTCTGGTTTAAAAAAAAAAACCTTCAGAATTTTAAATTGAATTATGTCAAGTCTGAAGTATCCAAACAGAAATGTCTGTACATTTAATGGTAAGTGTTTGGTTAAAGAACCTGTGGAAACGAAGTCAAACAGAAAGTTCCCCATTGACACAAAAGGTCTGGCACTGAACATGGTATTCATTTTACTAGCCAATATTGATTCTGAGATTTATTTTTTGAGAACTTTGAAACTGAATATCAATTGAATTAATTTTTGCCAATACTTTTATTGAAAAGGAAATGTTTGGTCAAGTTATCAAGGTCTGTACTTAGTGAATACTTTTTTGTGACCAAATTTATAAAGTTTCAAGTACATAATTCTGAAAATATTTGATCTCATTCTACAAAGGTTTTTTATTGTTGAAAATTTGAAGCATGTGAACTGACAATTATTTCGCAAAGATCCAGATTCTTTTGAAAAAAAAAAAAAAAAAAAAAACGATCATGTCAAAGGGGTTTGTGCCTTTAGCTAATCATTAGATAAAAAAACAAAATTACGTTTGCTTAGAAATACTATTGATTAACTATGACACTGAAAAACCTAGTCAAGGTTTGCAAACAGTTAAGCAGTATCTAAATTGATTGTTACATAGCTACCTATTATGTGGTAAATTTGTTTAGTAAGGCATGGTTCATGGCTTTCAGATTGAAATAAAGATTTGCTACGATTAATGTTGTATGGAAAAAAAAATTCATTCTGTCGCCTCCTGAGCAATACATGTGAAACATGAAGTGAAATCAATATTATTTTAAGAAATTGAGAGAAGTACCATTTTATAATTATCAAAAGAACTTTTCTTTTATTGTTTGATCACCAAATGTCACAAAGGGCAAACTGGTCACTGGTTGAGCGTTATTGATGTTTTTGTTATTTAGAGACTATTTTACCTTGTTTTTCTTACACAGATGGACCATTTAAAAGGCTAATTTTTTGTAAACAATATTGTCTTGGTTTGTATTTTATTTTGTTACCACATGTTCCTGCTTATACCCCCTTTACACTGGACGGCGTCCTTTCTGCGACCATGAAATTTGGCATCGCTGTGGTCTTAATAAGGAGGCACGAGTATTAATTTTGTATCAGAATGAATGCTCAATGATTGGCCTGTTGTCGGGAAGTAAAGCATTATAATTTTTTAACTCTCAAATGGGGCCGTACTGCTGACACAGAAAGGACGCCGTCCAGTGTAAAGGGGACTTTAGAGAGTGTGTTTTGGAAAATCCAAGAATGTACCCAGTTTATTCCATTTAGCTTTTTTATTTAATCAACATAGTTTTCATTCAGATATAGATTAAACATTTTATGAATTAAATTCTTTAATGCTCTATATACATGGCACTCATGAGATTGCATATTGGACATGTAATTGGTTGTAGAAGAGAATACTTAACAGTGGGGAAGAAATTCAAGAGAAAAAGTAAAACATTGAACATGTCCATGTTGCTCTCTCCTGCTGTTTAATGCAACTTAGGATGCTTTCCCAGAGATTTAGATCGATCTAAAGATTAAGTTTTAGATCGACCTAACTCCCTGGGGCTTCACGCTAAATTGCAGTCAGCCGAGTGGGCACCATAGTTAATTACCCCCCTTACAGCTT